TCTACGATTAGTTGCCTACTATTTGAACCCCAGCAAATGTGGTGTGGTACTTATGGAGAATGGGTAGAGAGTGTCTTATGATGTGTCACTTGGCTGCATTCGACAGGAATATGTCCACTCATATGTGAGGCTCGGCACGAGCGTGTGGGGAGTGGCCTTGCATGTGGAAGAAGTTGGGTTCTGGAGGCTTTCAGCTGCCAGGGCTGAGTCCCTTGGGGTGGGGAGGGCTCTCTCCCTCTCCCTTCGGGTGCTCCCTGAGTGAAATAACCTGGTGTGAAGTCTGGTGGCATGGCTATGGCGGGTGTCATGTTGCTCCCTTCCGGGAGAAAAAGCCATGTGATCTGGATGGTGGCCGATGATGAGATAATCTGGCTGTGTATTTGTTTTTAAAATGAATAGTGAGACAGGAAAAGAGTTCGAATGGCTGGAGTGCAGTACAAGCATTGGGAGCCCTGAGTTTGATACTCATCACAGCATGGTCCCCTGAACAAGCTGTGTGTGACCCTCAAGATATATAGTGTAGTTATCGATGCAAATTCCATATAATGAAAATCAACCTTCAGAAGGAGCTATACTTGGAACAGCTAAACCAAATTTTGTTAAGTTCAGCATTTTCTTTTAGGAAATGTTCCAGAGTAACGGTTGGAATAAGGCATTAGTTTGTTAAACTAAATTCAATATACAGGATTGATGTTACATTTACTTGTGGAGATTTGTTACGTTTACTTGTGGAGATTTGTTTTAAGCTTTATTTTGTGAGATCAACTTCAAAACCGTGGTCACCAATTTTACATGCATTTATAATGTACTACGTCATTTCAAATTTGGTAAGGATAATCTTACTTTCAGACACAGGGTTTTAACCTTACCATAAGCATGCTTCTCATGATTGGACATAACACTTCCCTTCTCCCTTCTCAATGTTTACCCAGTACTCCTGTATATCCTCTATATTTGCTGGATTTTGTTCATTTGTTCTATACCCTTTCTTGGCTAAATACAGTGGGAACATAAAACCACATGTCTGGACAGAGCTCCAAGAAGACATATGATCTCTATGATCTCTTAGAACTACTGGATTGAGAAAGAAGATGATCCTGGAATGAAATAAATCCCACAATCTTGGCTTCACCTAAATATTAGGAGTGATAGCACAGTGGATAGGGCGTTTGCCTTGCACACAGCCAACATGGCCGACCCGAGTTCGATTTCTCCGCCCCTCTCAGAGAGCCCAGCAAGCTACCGAGAGTATCTTGCCTGCACAGCAAAGCCTGGCAAGCTCCCCATGACGTACTCGATATGCCAAACACGGTAACAACAAGTCTCACAATGTTACTGGGCCTGCTCGAGCAAATTGATGAACAATGGGAGGACAGTAATAATTTACACATATAGTCAGTGAGGGAACCACAAATCATTTATCAGACTGTTCACTGAGAACCTTTGAATCTTCCAGATCCTCCAACAGAAACATGCATTAACTAGCACCACAGAGGACTTAGGACACTGAGGAAATGGGTTGCTTTCTGCTTATCATGAGCATTACTTAAATTTTGAAGTAACTTAGGTGCAGAGATCACTATAGCATTAGTCAATACAGCAAATATGAAGACTACTCTAAGTAGTACAATTGCAAATTTAACTCCAGCTGTATCACCTTATTTAAAATTTTAGAATTTCTGTAGCGTGACATCTCATACTCTATACCACTGATGTACCTGAGCAGCTTACCACATTGGATGCAATATAAAATAGAAGGCAACCAATCTCGATTAAAAAATATTAGCACACAAGGCTCAATCTGTAACAACATGTTAGTAATCTCTTTTAAAAGGGTTAATGGCTCGGGGTGAGATACAACGATTTTCATACACTGTCTTCTAAGAAAACCTTTTTGATAATTTTTAGTGAATTATTTGTAATAAGCAATACAAAATTAATAAGTTAGGGCCTGCAATTGGGGCAGGTTTGGGTGGTGGTTGGGAAAATTCAAAATATTGGTGGTGGGAAGATGTAATGGTAGCGGGATTGGTGTTGGAATATTGAATGCAATATATTGCAATAAACTTTAAAAAAGAGAAAACTATAGTGCTTAAACTGTTTAAAGGGATCATCTATTAAATATTAATTAAATTGAAGAATTAAGAGAATTCAAATAAAAATATTATGTTATGTTTTTAAACTATGATTTTTATTTGTTTCTGTGTCACATGTGGTGAGCAAGGCTTTTTCTTGATTCATTGCTCAGAGAATACTTATGGCAGGTCTCAGGGGACCATATGTGGTGACAAAAATTGAACCCAGGTGAACCACATGCAATACAAATACTGCAGTCTTTGTACTATCTCTCTAGACCCTACGGAACTATTCTTATCTACACCATAGATTGGCAAGTCTGGTTTACCACCAATTTTTAAAGGTCATAAACAAACAATTATTACATTTTGAGTGTTTAAAGAAAGCCAAAATGAAAAATAATATCTTATGAGATTTGTAAGAACTGTGAAATCCAAATTTTGGTGTTTACAAATTAAGTTTTGCTGAAATGTACTCACATTCACTATCTTGTCTGTTGTTTTATTTTGTACTGCAGTTTTTTGAAAGAATTATACAAAGAACAAAGACCCATCAGACCTAAGATATTTACTAAATGATCTTTTTATGGAGTTTGTCTGATCTTTTCCATTTTTAATACTTTCTGTATTTCCTGTCACCAATCTCTAGAAAGCAGAGAAGATCCTTTAACTACTGAGGGGAGGTATGTGGACGGTGGAGAGACAGACACCCCCAAGTTAACACAGGAATAGGATATTCACATTTCTAATTTTCCAATAGATCATCTTTGAAAAGTCAGTGTTTATAATAGCACAATAATTTTTTCCTGTATGTGCTCAATATATAAAAAATTAAATGTTAAAAAGAAACCAAGGGATTCATTTGGTCTAGAATTAACGCCCATATTGAAATTAAGCATTTATCTGCTCCTATAAAAGGTGTCATATGAATTTGCAGCATTTTTAAAGAGTCCTCTCAGGTGGTGGGGATGGAGGCTGTGCTTTGCCCTTGTAAAGCTATGGCTTTCCATACCCGTTTATCAGTTTTCTTACATATTTACTGAGAAATAATGGAAAAATGAGAGTGTGATATGTATTTTTCAAAGTGAAGTATATTAAAAATAAACTACTACGGCCCCTACTTTCCTTCTCATCATGCATCTCTTTCTTTCTGATTACTCAAGAAAGTAGGCCGTTTGCCCTGTAGACTCTACCTTATGCATTTGCTGCTTATTTATCTGTAGAATCATGTAAATTGCTTTTTAAAATCCAGTATATTTTCTCTAGATTGGAAGTGACATCTAACACTTGAATAATATGAGGTTATGTTGTATGCTTTATATTGCATGATATGAGAGTCCAAGTGTTGGCAGTGTTAATTTTTATCAGTTGGCTAAGGTACTGTTACCCTCATCAAGATTAATTTTTTCATAGCAATTAGAAAGTAATTGGTGAGGTTATTCTTTGTCATTGTTGCAAACATTCTTCATTCTGGCAAGTTAAGGTTAAAATAAATAATGTGCTTTAAAATAATGGCTTCAGTTTGTTATTAAAGAATCAAATATTTTATTAAGAATTGATAAGTAAAATTTTTATAACTATTTGTAATTTCATAATTTATTACTTTCCCGCTCATTAGCTGGCATAATACTGTAAGGATTTCTCCCTCATTAATTACAAATCACCTAAGGTTTCTACTAAAAAGTTAAAGTAAACGTGTAATTCTTTTGTTGTTGTTAACGCTTTGTTTTTTTTAAATGTGTAATTCTTTACCTTTAATTCTATTCTCACAGAGTGGAGTTGATCTAAAAGTCAAATCCAATTGAAAAAAATGAAAATTCTCTCTCTCCTCATGGATTCTATTTTTTTTAAGTATCTATTATTTTATTTTTATTTTATTATTTTATTTTATTTTTTGAGTTTTGGGTCACACCCAGCGATGCTCAAGTGTTATTCCTGGCTCTGCACTAAGGAATCACTCCTGGCGGTGCTGGGGAGACCATATGGGATGCTGGGGATCGAACCCAGGTCGGCTGCATGCAAGGCAAATGCCCTACCAGCTGTACTATCTCTTCGACCCCTCTCAATTATTATTTTAAAACATTATAATATGACATTTAAACTTATATAATGTTCAGTTGATTTATTTTTAGCAAACCACTGTAGCACTGTAGCACTGTCATCCCGTTAATCATTGATTTGCTTGAGCGGGCACCAGTAGCGACTTGTCCCAACCCTGAGATTTTAGCATCATAAACTTTATGCCCTCTCTCTCGAATATGGCATGCCAACTGGATGTCCTTGGGGGTAATGGTGATACACTTGGCACTTAGCAAACCAATAAAACAAAATTTACCAACATACTATCATTTAAAGATAATTTGCTTTTATGTGTATGTTTCATAAAAATACCATCTTGATATACTATTCTACAGTAATCTGTTGTAATCCAATAAAAATGATACATTTTTTTCTTTTCAGACTACAACCATTCTGCTTTCTGTTATTATCAGTTTGCATTCTCTATAAATATATAAAATATCTTAGCTATTATAACAAATCATTGTTATCACAAACCAATTATTTTTTATGTCCTTTGTTAGAACTGCACTAGTTCTTTTTAGCTATATTTCCTGACATGGCATATTCACTGATGCAAAATATTCTTCATGGATGTTCCCATAGTTGAATAGGTATATAGTTCCCATATACCTATTCTCCTTGTTACAAAGAGCATCTCTTCCCCCTTTCCTGACTCATTAGCACCTCCATGTGAACAAATTTAACCTTCTCTGAAGTGTCATGCAATAAGTTTAAAACACTAGATTTTTTACCCACCACCCCCAATTTTTAACCCCCAACTCTTAACACTCAATGGACATCAAGAAAAACCCATGCAAATTCCAATTTTCAAGATTGCAATGAAATATCTTAGCAATATCTTACCTAGCATAGTAGTCATTAGGTGGAACCGCTTCTTGGAAGAACTGAAACTGGTATAAATAAAGTCCAATCAGGTGTCCCGCAGTGAAAATAGCCAGTAGAACACAGAGGCAGCTGAACAACAATGGATCAAAGGTCCGGCACCAGGACCACCAAGTGCACAGACCCAAAAATACAAAGAAATACACAGATGAAGTCAAAGATGGCAGCATCATCCCTGCAGAAGAAGAAATGTGGTTATGAGAAACTGCATTGATGACAGAACCATTTACATTTCAGTGAGTGTAGCTATTGAAATGACACATATTTACTTCATATATTTTCAGGTATTGATCAGGTTGTAAGAATACTAATTACATTGTGTTGATTAAAATAATACTATTTTTATTATAGAAAAAATCAAACAAAAGCAATATGTGTAAATATGGGAAAAGAAATCCTATCAATGACATCTGAGATAGTAAACATATTTTCACATTATTAAAATTTTGTAAGAAGATCATTAGGCATGTTTTCTTGCCTTTTCCTATCTTTCAATTTCTTCTCTCGATTTTTCAGGAACATATGTATTATTCTAGTTGTGCCTGATATTGTTTTTTAAGGGATTTACATAAAAATTTATTTTTTAGGGGCCAGAGCAATAGTAAGGTGGGTAGGCCTTTTACTATCTCCTGTACCCTATATGGTACCCTGAACACCACCAGGATTGATTTCTGAGCACTGCTGAGTGGGGCCCTCAAATCAAAATGTTTTAAAATTTAATTATATAGGGGGAATCACCAGCAGTGTTCAGGGCCCTTATGGTTATGTTCAGTCATATTAAGACCAGCTCTGTGAACCTGAATATTCTATGTTCAGGCCCAGTTTTTCTGCCTTCCCATCTCTCCAATATCAAGGAGACCTTTGGCATTGCTTGTGGGGCTGTGAGATGCTAGAAACTAAACTCAGGGCCTCCAGTCTTGTGAAATCTCCTGGGTGAGCCCTGAAGAGGATTCAACTTCATTGTTATTAACCAGGATTCACAACAACAAGACTTACTGCAGCAGTTCAAGTCCCACTAAAATTTTCTCCTACCCAGTGAAATCTTAGTTGCACTATTACCCAAAGGAAAAATGGAAAATGAGGTAATTCCTTGACAAGATGCTTTCCAACCTGGTGGGGGGCATTTTGAAATAACGCTTCATTAGAATATTGTGCTATATTTATGACAAATCCCATTCTCTTTTCTACTGTTTTCAAAGTTGTTTCATCTTGTGAAGCGTCTATTATATGGGATAAGAAGAACTTCAGAGGGGCTCTGGGAGATGGTAAACAGCAGAATGAAAGGAAAGGAGGTAAACATTGCTATGAGATAAGGAACCTGTGATTAAGGTTTAAGGGAAATGAGTTTGTGCTACAAGATTACAATCTAACCTAACTTTCAGACAAGAGAGTATATCCTGTCAGTTCAGACTGGCTCAGTATAGACAGAGATCTCTCAGAGGACACATGCACAGAGCTGTGTGGGCCCCTGTGCACTGTAGTACATCACTCTGTGAGAGCAGTAAACTTGCTTTTCTAACTTACACTCATAAGTGATAAAACTTCCTTATGTAATAAGATTGTTATAAAATAGTATAAAAGATTATCTCAAAACATAAAAACTAGGGAGTTTATACAGTGGGAAGATACTTGCCTTCTAGGCAGCTGACCCAGGTTCAATATCCAGCATCAAAACTGCCAGGAGTGATCCCTGAGTGCAAAGCCAGGGGTAAGCGTCGAGCATAGTTAGGCCCCCAAACAAGCAAACAACAACAACAAACACTAGACGTTAATAAGAAAAATGTGTGGTGAGAATATATAATCAGTTGTGTTTGTGTGTGTGTGTCTCTGTGTGTAAGACTGTTTCCTTTTTCCTTTTCTTCTCGGTCATTTCTTTCATTATTAGCCAAAGCAGAGTGATACTTGCACTCCATCCAGTAGTGGAAGATCTCACCTGATGACCCCAGTAAAATGGTCACAACCACCTTTCCTGCAGTGGTTATCATGTTGCCGATAAACTCCTTAAGCTTGGACGCCACAGAGGCGAGCCTGCGGAACATTTTTAATTTTGTGCTTTCTTCCAACTCCCTTTCAACACCAGCTCCATCATCTAAATCTTCTTCATAAATCAGCGCCTCTTCGGGATCTATTTTTTCTCCCTCTACCTATATGAATAAAAAAGAGAAAACACGGTCACTCAGAACTTGGCATCTCTGACCCAGAAGCTGATATGGATTACCATTGGTGAATTAATTGATGAGGTGCATTTCACAAATCAGGTGGAAAATGTAGACAGTCCCATCAGTGCCCCAATCTCTGAGTTCCCACAAATGCCCTAAGAAGGACGAGGTCCTGATAATGATGATGACAGGAAATGCCACTCATCACAGGGTTCCTAAGAGCAGGTCATCCTCCTTATAAGTGCTCATTGGTATAGGCAGAAGAAAAAATTTGAAATCTATTCATAACTCCATGTCAGGCTGTGGGGCAGGTGAGAGCCCTCCCCACCACAAAGGACCCAGCCCCAGCAGCCGACCTCCACTGCCCCACCACCACCACGCTCTAGGCTGCTTTCTGGATGCTCAGGCCTAACCTAATGTAAGAATGAAGTCCCACAGAACCCAGATAATGGGCGACTTTGTGACCTTGGACTCTGGCCTCAATGGGACCTGGAACAGAGGTTCTCTGCCTGCTTCCCCCAGTCTCCGGTGACTCAGGGATCACACCCATAAGCCACACCCTGCAAGCACCAGATAATCTCCTGATGGGACACCTCCAGAATCCATGGATGCTCCTCTCAGACACAGGAGTATAAAAAGAAGCTCCCAGAACCATGGCACTGGACTCTGAGCCAGGCTGTGGGGCGGTGAGAGCCCTCCCCAACCCAAGGGACCTAGCCCCGGCAGCCTACCTCCACTGCACAACCACCACCATGCTCCAGGCCACTGTCCAGACCATGTGGCCACAAAGTGGCCATACCACACATTATAAGACACTTTCCTACCCATTTATGCCTCTTGGAGAGCCTGGCAAGCTACTGAGATGATCCTGCCCGCATGGGCAGAGACTGGCAAGCTCCCTGTGGCCTATTCGATATTCCAAATTCAGTAACGACAATAGGTCTCATTCCCCTAACCCTGAAAGATCCTCCAGTCATTGGGAAAAGATGATTAAGAAGACTGCTAAAATCTCAGGGCTGGGAGGAACAGAGACATTACTGGTGCCTGCTTGAGTAATTCGACAACCAATGGGATGATAGTGATAGTGATAGTGATAGTCTCCATTAGTCTGGGCTTGGTGCCTCAAATTTAAGAGTTCGACACTAAATTGCTAACAGATTGCACGAGAATATCCATGGCTTTAACCAAAAGGATGGTCTAAATCAGTGCTTAGGAAATCCCTTTGCTCTCTGAAGTTTATCTTTGCTAACTATTTCAGGATTTCCTGACCTTGAAGGATGAATGGTGCCGGAATGTTGGGCTATATTTAGGCTCTTCCTACCTCCTCCTGTCACAGGACTCATTAGTTCCACCACAGGCGCCGTGCTGCTCAGGACTCTCACTGGAGATTTAGGAAAGAAATTTATGTGTAGAATATACACAAGGTTGAAGGCATTACTTTAAATGGGTTTGTTAGGTGTTTTCATTAGTCATTTTTAAAGAATTCACTTTTTTTTGCAATGATAACCTTTGCAATAATTTTTTGCAATGATAACCTTTCTAGGAAGGTTAGGAATTGTTTTTAAGTAGTTAGAAATAGAAACCATCCATTTTAGACAAAAGGATCTGATTTAACATGTGTGGGATTCTGTTTACATTTGTTCTCAGGTCCCTTGATTTCACTTGCTCCTTTACATTTCCCACATTAAAGGTCTTTCTCACTGTTCTTAAACACTATTCACCGAAGGTACATGAACCTCTATGCCCACATTCACTATTGGAAGGCATACACTGGAGGAATGGTTCAAGTTCTACTGGGTACTTAGTGGACATAAGGACTCAGAGACCATGATCAGTGCAAGCTACTGGTGAATTAAACTAGTTGTTCAAAATTAGTTAACACAGGATCAACCCAAGCACTCCTAATTCCTGACTTAAAATTACACACAAAAATAATTTAATTCTAGACTTAAGTTTATATTCCCAAATTGTTTTCTTCTGCACTCTATCAAGACACAGTTATATATTTTTTTCCTGAAAATAAAAGCTTATGTTTATTTTTAAAGCATTTGATTTAAATTTGTTTAGGGTTTATCTCCAGTAAGAGACCCATACATAAACAAAAATTGAACAAGCAAAATATTTTATTAGTAAATGCCATGCACAGCATTGGCCAAACCAAACAAAAAAGGGACAAGATTGTGAATAATGGGGTAGCTATTGAGACACTGCAGCCAAGGACAGTCTCTATGAGCATGCAGCATTTAGGCCAAGACTGTGAATGCCACAAAGTCAACAGTCTTGTGAGCATCCTAGAAAAAAAGCATTTAGGCAAAGAGATGAGCTAGTCTATGCTGTGTGCAGCAAACAGGCAGGGAGTTCTAGAATCTCCCCTTCCTCCTCCTCCTCCTCCTCCTCCTCCTCCTCCTCCTCCTCCTCCTCCTCCTCTTCCTCCTCTTTCCCATTGGACAGCCAGGTCCCCTTTATACGGAATTGGATGAATACTGATGGAACGATGTACAACCCCAGATCCTCTCCTTCACACCATCTCCTGCTCCCTTCTTTTTCCTAATTCACCTCATCAACCAACACAAAAGTCCCCCCATCTCACCTTGGGACCCACATATGTGTCTCCATGGGAAACTCTTCAAAGACTGGATAGATGTATGACAATATTTCCCCCATGCCAAGATTCTCAGAAACCTGCTCTAATAGGAACCTGATTGGCAACCACCTTACCACAGTAGGGGACAGTAGAGTGTGTTTCACAGGAGAATATTGGATGCTGTCTGGGGAAGGGCACAGGGAGATCTGAATGACAGTTGTGACTGTTCATGAGGAGGACAACTTGGACCATGCTGAGTTGAGATTTATGTCTTTGCAGTGTTTCAGAGTCTGTGGGACTAGCTGCAAAATGTGATGTGGTGGAAGGAGGGAAAGAGAAGGCTCAGAGATAGCTCCTATATGTTTGTCTTCCTTAATGAGATGGGAACAAGCAGTCAGATGCAGGTTGGGACATCCAGTTCTGAGTTGCTTTTCAGGCAATCTTTGGGGATGTATCACACGGACAGCTAGGAGATGTGGGAACAGAAAGGGGCTATTTGAGATGGAGGGACATGGGGTAAGTCTTTAAATCAGGGTTGTGATGGAATTTGGATGCATCCTGGAGAGCAAACAGATCACTTGTCTCTCAAATACTGTCTAGATGACCAATCTGCTTCTCCAATCTTTTAGCCTCATCTCTTTGCCTTAGCAGCACAGACACAAGAACCCATATAAAGAATATAAAATCCAGACTCTCCTGACTCTCCTGCACATGCCGCATCTACCCTCTTGAGATGAATTCCTCACTCAGTCTCAAAGACTTAGCTTCAGCCCCACAACAGATTTACATATCAGTGATTCTATTCTCCCTTTTAAAAGCACTTTTTAGAGGGTGTTGACCCTCCCACCCCACTGCTTCACTCACAAGCGAACAACTGGGCACCTCCTGTTTCCAGTCCCCTTTCCCATGAATGGACATCATGTCACAAATTCTCTCCCAGGAAGGAAACTTGTCAAAAACTCTTTAATCACTAGACTTGAAAAAAAAGAAGAGGAAGAGCAAGAGGGAGAAAACAGAGAGAACAGTTATAGTCACCTGTATCTCAGTCAGACACAAGCATAGCTTTCATCATAAGTGACTTCTTATCCAATTACAAAATTGCTATGGATGTGGATTAAATCAAATAGAAATCTGGTTGAGAACCCTTGTGAGACTAGACAAATGCATTCTCCTGATCTCTCTTAGGTGGAACTTGGATATCTGTGATTTTAAAAATACATATTACTGCATTTGAGGACTTTTGCCCTCAGCATTTTTGTACCGGAATCTCTGGGTTCCTCATTTGGAAATGCTTTTGAATTCAGCCAAGCTGAGAGGGAGCTGAGGATGAGACAGGTTTTGCTCTGTGAGTGCCTTAGTCATGGCACTAGTCATGGCAGGCTGGCTGGGGAACAGGCTTTCTGCCTCTAAACAGTTTCTCTAATAGGTATAAACACTGTAGAGCATCCACTCACCCTAATGTTTTTAGTAACTAGCAGCTTGCTGGTAATCTGTCCTTCAATGGGACAGGGTCTTATTCTGGCCTTGAAGATAAAATAGAGTAGCTGTAAATAAAGTTTTAATCCCACAAAATGAATGGTTTCTCTGGTTTAAAAAGCCAAATAAAAGAAGTTTACATATCCTTATTGTTCGTGACAAACTGTTAAAACTGATTTGATGAGATGTTAAGTTCTTCAAAGGCCTTTTTGCAAATTGCTGAGTCCAAATGCACCAGCTCGATGAGGGTGACCTCTCATTTCACATGGAGAAGCTCTAAGAGCTCTGGAAACCACGATGGGCAAAGTCACGCTATTCTCTGAACCTGGATGGAAGCCCAAACAAAGAGGCTGCACTGTGGCCAGCACTCCCTCCATTCGCCTCTCACCCGCAGAACTCCATCTCCATCAAGTAATTCTTCCCACTCAATTTTGGACCAGGAAATCCCAATAAATTCCTTTGACCATACCCAAACTTCCATTTCTCTTTATTCCCAAGCAGGAAAAGATTCAACCTGGGTTGGAAAAACACCTCAGGATCACCTGGCAAATGTTAAGCTCACAGAATACCTGGCTTCACCACAAACTTCCTAAGTCAAAAATTCTAGGGGTGAGCCTTAGGAATGAATGTGGTTGAAGAAAAGCACGGCTCAGAGTGATTCTGAGCAGCCCAGCCTAGAATCTATGCACTGGCTCCATCTGCAACCACACAGCTACTGTTCCCACACTTGCTGATGAGGCAAAACTAGAATATTTCATTTGAATCATAGCCTAAGAGGCAGACTTTTGTAATTATATGGAAGTAATTTATCTGTGGAACCTCCTTCTGGTTTTATCCAAGATTTAGATGTGAGACCAGAGATTTTCATGCTGCTGAATCCATATTCCTGTGTGGTTATAAGCCAAGCCTTTAAAAGGATTTTTAT